CCCCACAAGCGCTTCCCCCCATCCCCCTCAGTGCGCATGCGCGCCTCTTCCCGCCCACCGGGATATCCTCCAAATCCTTAAAAATAAATTGGGGTTTTCCCGGCGGGGGCCGGTTGTTGAAGTGCTAAGCCTGACTGTGTGTTAAACCCCCGGGGATTTGGCTCCAGGCCTCTCCTTGCAGGTGTGTCCGGAGGGCAGCCGCAATGGCTGTCGCACCAGGAGAGCGCCTGGAGCTCCAGCTGCTGGCAGTGGAAATGCTCCTTTCACTCTGTCCCTCAAAAAGGTGAAATAAATCTGCTTGAGGATGCTGTCCCCGGCGAGCAGCGCTACCTGAGAAACACTGATGGAGCTCTGCCCCCACACCGCGAGTATTCAATCGCTGTTGATGTCGGGGAGGCAAAGGGGAGAACCTCCAGGTAGATGCCTTCATGGGTGTTGCCTTCTTTACTCTTTGTGCAGGCACTTAAAACTGAAAAATGGCAAAAAACCTGAAAAATGGCAAAAAAAAAACCCCACCTAATTTCTGTTTGCTGTTTCAAAAGTCGAGAGTAACAGAAAAGTCTTTGTTTTCATTATTTATTTGAGTCTAAACTTTCTTTGGGCAAGAAGGGCTAGCAGAATTGCAGATAGGAATAGACAACTGACATCGGCGGCACGCACAGCATGCACAAGAGCTCAGGTAGGGTTATGTCCCACGTGAGGGTGGTTAGCTTACTGGTTTACAGAGCCGTGTGTTCCAAGGGCAATGCTCCATCATGGGAATGCATATGTCAGAGTGTACATTATTCCAGCAAAACCACCCTGCTGTTTCTCTCTCCCACCCCTTGCCACGTTTACTAACATTCATTGGTCTGGATTTGAAATACAGGAATGTCAAAATAGCCCCGAATGGCAGAATACTATTAAGAAGAGTCACACCAACACTAAAATGAAACCAGCCTATAAACTGTGATGCAAACCCCCGAACTTACAGTATAAGGAGTTCCAATAGTGTATGCTATTGAAGAAAAGGTCACGTATGACAATTAAGCGATGCAAATACTTGCACAGAGAACATAGCCATTAGTGCAGGTCTGAATATGTAATAATGCAATGAGTGGAAATTGAAACGCAACAAACTCAAGTATGTGCATTTTCCTAGGAATGAGGATAATTAAACAGCAGAACAATTTACTGGGTAACAAGGTAGCCTCATGATTATTTGGTAACTTATGTACAAGATTGGATATCTTTCTAAAATGTACCCTTTCACCAGCCTTCAGAGAGAAGTTTTATGAACTGCTTAGGGAGGGAGGGCTTCTGCAGGAAGAACTTTTTTTCCATGGCAGATGGTCAAGGAACTTGGAAAGATAAATGAGTCATTTCACAGTTCATTTCTCTCTGCAGGACCGAATCATTTGATTGTAGTCCCCTAATAGTATACAAGAGGCTTAAGGACTGAGGATACATGAATCCTCTCCTGCTCTCGGACCGCAGGCAGGGTTCTGTTTCCAAAGAACTGAGACACTGTAGAAATAATCAAGAGAAATTCAACAGCCATGGTTTGTAGGAGATTAGGCAAGATAATCTAGAGGTTTCCTGGGCCTAAAATGCATGTAGATATTTTTATCTCCTGAAAATGCTTCCTCTGTTAGAGTGAATACTTGCTTAAAATTATAATAACGCCTCTCAGATTGATCAGATGTGCATTTGGTAAGGGACAAGACTCTCAGAAGCCGCTTGCCCCTTGACAGACTGGTAGTTTATCGCTGTAGCAACACTGGGCACATCCTGAGAACGCACACTAGAAATATCCCTAGAGGGTAACCGTGTGCCTTCTTTCAAGCCATGGCATTATTTCTGTTAACAGCAGAAACATGGGATTCATGAGGGAAGTCCCAGCATGGTGCAACAAAAGAAAAGAGAGATAAAAGGAAATAATAACAGTAAGTAATTTCAGACTTTAGGTTGTTGCAATCTTAATTACATCTCCTCATTATTTGCCTTTGACAAGGAAGAAGAATCTAGCGTGTCTTTCAGTAGCTGCAGAATTAACTGTCTTTTTTGTGTGTCTGTGTTCTGTTTTTAAGGTAAAAGTGGAACCGCAGGTACTGCTGCCTCATGTATCCTCACGTAGCTCCTCAGCTTTCTGCAAGATCAAATGCGCTGCACAGACCGCAGCAGTTGCAGCTCAACACTCGCCTCGCTTCTCACTGTCCTGGTTTCGGCTGGGATAGAGTTAATTTTCTTC